TTCCAGAGAAATGGGTCTTCACATAATGTAAGTTGATCCTGTTTATTTGTGCCTCAATGAGAACTCTGGATTGATTTGATTGATATTCTCTACCTGTCTTCAGGTTTCTCCAACATTGAAGTTTGAGTTTGGTGTAATGGTCAAGGCATCAGGCTAGATACCGGGAGACCATGAGTAATAGTCCTGTCTTGGATATGAAGGCAGCTAGATGACCTTGGTCACTTCTCAGCTCAAGGAAGGAAGCAATGGTAAATCCAATCTGAAAATCCTCGCAAGGAAAACTGCAGGAACTTTTCCAGGCAGTCTCCAAGAATCACACATGATTGAATGGAAGAAAAAAAGTCTTCCTGTTTCTTCAAAATCCAACTTTCACTTCCATAATCTCACAGGCAGCACCATGGCTTGCATGATTCTAACCCTTGTAGATATATATCACTGCATTTACAGTGCATTCAAAAAGTATTCAGACCTTCACTTTTGTCAATCTTGTTATGTTGATTCTACAGTTGTTGATATTCATTTTTCTCTCATTAATCTACACTCAGTCAGTACTCCATAATGACAAAGTGAAAACAGAATTGGAAAGTTGGAAAGTGAACCTTCAGCCCAGTCTGAGGTCCTGAGTGCTGTGGAACAGGTTTTCATTGCGCTATTCAGCTTTCTCTCAACCTTGAGTAGTCTCCCAGTCCCTGCTGCTGAAAATCACCCCCACAGCATGATGCTGCCACCACCATGCTGCACTATTGGGATGATATTGGGCAGGTGATGAGTGGTGCCTGGTTTCCTCCAAACATAACGTTTAGAACTGAGGTGAAACAGTTTGATCTTGGTTTCATCAGACCAGAGAATTTTATTTTTCTCAGTCTAAGGGTCGTTCTCATGCTTTTGTGCAAATTCCAAGTGGACTTGCATCTGTTTTGCATTGAGACTTCTGTCTAGCCATTCTGCTATAAATCCAAGATCGGTGGAGGGCTGCAGTGATGGTTGTCTTTCTGGAACTCTGTCCCATCTCCAAACGAGATCTCTGAATCTTAGAGTGACCATCGGGTTCTTGGTCACCTTTCTTACTAAGGCCCTTCTCTGATTACTCAATTTGACAGGTGACCAGCTCTTGGAAGAGTCCTGGTTGTGCCAAATTTCTTCCATTTGAGAATTATGGAGGCTACTGTGCTTTTAGGAACCTTCAGTGCAGCAGAAATTTTATTGTAGCCTTCTCCAGATCTGTGCCTTGCAATAATCTTGTCTCTGAGCTCTGTGGGCAGTTCTTTTCACCTCATGGCTTTTGCTCTGCTACAGTATGCATTTTCAGTTCTGAGGCGTTCTATGGAGAGTTGTGTGCCTTTCCAAATCATGTCCAATCAATTTATCACTGGTGGACTCCTATCAAAGTGTAGAAACATGTCTGCAACTATCAAGAGAAATGGGAGGCACTAGAGCTAAATTTCACGTATTGTTGCAAAGGGTCTGCATATTTATGCCAATGTGATATTTCATTTTTTTTCTTAATAAATTTAAGGACATTTAAAATTCTATTTTCACTTTGTCATTATGGGATACTGAGTGTAGATTAATGAGAAAAAAATGAATTTCAACAACTGTAGAATCAGGCTGAAGCTAACAAAATTGACAAAAATGAAGGGAGTCTGAATACTTTCTGGATGCATTGTAAATATCTTTTCAAAGTCTTTTATGGTTGCTATATCAAGTGCTAGTCTGTGATGTATTTCTTGACTCCTGTAACACGCAGTTCCATTTTCTTGAAGTGGGTTTTTTTTTTCAAAAGAATAAATGTATTTTGATACATATACATTCAGTACTTAACTAATACACATACAAAACATTAATATTGAACATTTACATTTACCATAAATTTACCATAAAGCTAATTTAAAATTAAGGTACTTATATTTTTTAGACCCAAAAATTGCTAGTGAATTTTCTACTGACCTTTTAGTTACACAATTTACTCTGAATGCAAAATTATCTGTCAAACTACAAAATATTATTTTTAATTAAGATAAGTCTTAACTATCTTTTTTAATCAACTTTATTAAATTTTAAAAAATACAAAATAAAAAGGGGAAAATGAGAATGATAATAAAAAAGGGAAAATTCAAAGTGACAAAAAAAGAAAAGGGTGATTGACTTCTGACTTTCTTTAGTACAGGTAGAAATAGTAACCTCTTACTCATGAACAGTGCCATAGGTAATTTAATTAAAACAAAAATGCAAAAACAAAAAATATACATATTAAACAGTCAAAACATTAAAATTATACAACAAAAATACTCTGAAATTAAGCATAAGCATAAAAATACAGCATGCACATTTATTAATAAAAATACACAATGTTTCTATAATCACACAAATCTAATAATGAAATCCTAAAATCAAAACTTCCTTTTTATGTTTCAAAAACTCCAAAAGTAGTTTCCAAACAGAAGCAAAACTAAATAGGCTTTTATCTTTCAACAAAGTAGTCAGTTTTGTCATCTCTGCCAATTCCATTAATTTCAAAATCCACTCTTCAGTTGTGGGAATGTACAGTATGTATCTTTCGGTACATACAAAAGTATCTCTGCTGTTGTTTTCTTTCTATTTGGTCATTCAGGAAACCCAAAAGAGTTTCTGGTTTCAGTTTTACATTCATTTGTAGTATTTTCTGAATCAGACAACATACCTTATCTCAGTATGTCTTGGCAGACAAGTAGCTCTTGACTTCAAATGCCAATTGCACTGGAATTGCTGTCACTAAGTGACACAGTAGTAAAGTGTGATGTCATATGGCTATTGTGAAGCAAGGTAATTAAAGAAGGATCTCACAGCTGCAACTTTCAACTTCCTGTCCATTTCTCCATTGACTTTGCTTCGGGAAAGCCAGCAGGGATGTCATAAATTGCAACACGGCTGCAACTTGCTTCAAAAGCTGGGCACCCAGAGTGTGATCACATGACTGTAGGAATGCTGGGATGGCCAAATGCCAAGGACCAGTTTTAGGTCCTCATTGTTTTCCTTATGCTTGAATAAAAATCAGAGATAAATGGAGCCACTTACTCTTTCTTCTAAAGCAATCTTTCCTGACCTGGCATTTTTTTCAGACATTCTGGGATTGCAACTCCCATCCAGTATGGCCAAAAGCAATCCCATTTCCTCTGGAAGGCATTGGGATAATGAAGGCTTCTTTACATATTTCAAAGGGATTGATTTTAGTCATCTTTTCTTAAACAGCTGTGAATAGATGCCATCTCATGTTTCTGTGGCTAACAAAACAATCATTTCAAAGAGAGCCAAACTACTAGCTAAAAAAAAAAAAAAAGAATTCATACTCTTATGGAATAAAAAAAAATAAGAATTCTTACTCTACAGAATTTGAAATATATTCCTAACTTAAATTGTTACTATTAGGTAATTAGTTTTATAGTTTTTATATGCTTACATATTCAGTGGGATTGAGTATATTGAGAATCTATTTTCTTAAATATCTGACATGTATTTAAAAGTGAAATTACATTTCACTAAAACAGTTTACTTTATACTGTTTAAAATATAACAGATACATTTAAAGCATCCTAGCTGCTGGTTAACATAACAGCTGATTAGTGGAGAAATCAGAACATACAAGAAGATAAGGCTTTAATGGCTGCATTGGTCTGCCATCGGATTAAAATTTCCCTAAACACTATACCAGTGTTTCTCAACCTTGGTAAAATAGGAACACTTTGCTGGCTGGAGAATCCTGGGAATTGAAGTTTCAAAGTTGACAAGGTTGAAAAATACTGTATTATACAAATCTCTGAAAGGACTGGATTAAGTACTCCTTTATTATTTGCTGCTTCCCTTTTCCTTGTGTACGAAACTTAAATGCTATGAATGTTGAAATTTGAACTATATCTCAGACTTAAGAATTCCTTCAAATGAAACTGTTTCTCAACTGTTCCTGCACGAAAGTATACATAATTTGTTTAAAATAATATACAAATTTCTTTGTACTACAGGTAGTCTTCAACTTACAATAGTTTGTTTAGTGACTGTTCGAAGATACAATGGCACTGAAAAGTTACAACACTTACAAGCATTGCAACGCCCTCATAGTCACATAATCAGAATTGGGACGCTTGGCAACTGGCATGTATTTATGAAAGCTATAGTGTCCTGTGATCACCTTTTGTGATCTTCTGATAAAGTCAAGGGGGAAGTCAGATTTAATTAACAGCTGTGTTATTAACTTAACAACTGCAGTGATTCACTTAACTGTGGCAAGAAAGGTTATAAAATAGGGCAACTTTCACTCAACAACTATTTGGCTTAGCAACAGAAATTTTGGGCTCAATTTTGGTCATATGTTGAGGATTACCTGTACTAAGAATTATAAATAGGGAAACTGGGAAACCGATAGAACACATTTTGGTGAAACAAATATAAACCATATTAAACATACAATGGTGTATGTATACATAAATTCTGCCTTGATTACTTCCCATCTTTACGCAGAAGAAATACTCACTTGGAACAAGTATTGATTCAAACAAAATCAAACACGGTATAATTGCAATAGCTTACACACTGAAGCTTCTTACATTGCAACCTTACGGTATTTTTAACTGAATCTAGTTTCATAGATGGAAGTAGAAATACTGTCACCACTTACGTCACCTTTAAGGTTTCAGCACACGTATACAATTTCCAACAAATATCTTGTAATACTCTCAAAAGTAGCTGTCAAACCCTTTTAGACTTGAAAGGCTACTTAATTAAACAATTATATGTATCTAGGACTTTGTTTACAGTTTGTACAATGTTTTGATTTTGTTGTAGTTTATATAGATTCAATTTACTGGTAAACTATATTCTCTGTTCATGAGGCTAGTATAGATGAGATCCAAAATGTACTAAATGTAAAAAAAAGTAAAAACAAATCTATTCAATTCAGACTTTAGGAAGTCAGTTAAATGAAATGTAAAAGTTTGATCGATTTACAGACACACTACTTTAAAGAATAATTTCCCAAAAAAATATTTTATTGAGAAAGTCAAAAATCCCCAACCAGATTTCAGATAAAATTAAACGTACTTTATTCACTTGCACGTATACCATAGCAGTTAGGAGAAAAGACACTAATGATATGAAGGCAAAACTATTGTGTATATCATGTCACTTACTAAAAGATGCTAATTCCTGATTTGCTAAAAGTGATAAAAGAATGAGTAAGATACCACTTCCCAGTTTTTCTTTAAATGTTAAATTTCCTACTAAAAACTAAATCAAGTCCATGTGAGATAAGCCTTTCATCTTCTAAACCAGCGGCTCCCAATCTTTTCTGTACCCTTAGAACGCTTCTGATATATCCTCGCACCCCCTAAAAAATGTTCGAAATAACGGCAACAAATTATGCAATACACTATAATTTTGAAAATCCAAGTTTTCAAACCAGCAACCCTAGTTGGGAACCCCTGTTCTAAAGCATATTTTTCATCACATCTCAGGTTTAATTTCTTCCAAATATTTAGAGAGGGATTGCCAGAGAAGTGTCTAAAATAATCCATGAAAGTTTGTAAGCAAAACTCACAACACTGAGAAAGAAATCCAAGAAGAAAATTATGACAAATACTAAGACCTTTTCATAACTATGTGATATCCTACATTTAATATAGTTTTCTTGAGAGTACTTCTTTATACTTTGTACACTATACTTTGAATACTTAAAAAAATAAGTTACTTTTGCTTTGTAGTCAAGAAATTAGGATTTTGAGGCAAGAGTGGCAAACTGGGTACACAACAGGCATCCTTCTGTTAATGGAGGCAAACTATTTGACAGAATTATTATGGAGAAGTTTATTTGTAAATTTAGTAATTATATTTTCTAAAACAGTGGAGCTGGGATTTAGTAATTAGACTAGGAAAAAAATTGTGACTATTCAGCCAAATAAGCTGCTTTCAATGAATTGATGTTTTCAGCATAGGAATCAGAAACTGCATAGTAGCTTAGAAGCACATTTATCCACCCACCCATTTTTTTAAATGAATATGGGACCGAACAGTGCTGTCCATATAGAATCAACAAATAGGATTTAGAACTATTATGTCAAAATATATTTTTGCCACTGATGTAAATCTTGTAAAGTGTTGGAAAAATGTAAACCCTGTGAAAAAGAAGTACAGATTATGTTTTATCACGCAAATTGATTGTTCTATACATTCTATACATGGATGAAAGACTATAAGCAGATTTAAATCTGTCCAATGCAGGTCTGATACAAATTAAGTAGTATTTTTATTGTTGAATGGAGGAAGTAAAGAAAAAGTTAAGAAAAAGAAAATAAAAGCATGCATTTCAAGTATAAGTAAGGGGAAAGCTTCTTTTGATTAAATAAACTCTTACAGTACTCAAAGTGCTTTTTCAAGAGCTGTGTCACTTTAGCAGAAATTGTCCCAAAGGTATTGTTCAAAAGGTAATTGTACTTTGTTGGTAAAAAAGAAAATCCATTTGCCTTTTGAACAACACCTTTGGGACAATAATGATCTGGATGAGCAAGAATCTCCATTGACATTTAGCAGAAATTATATCAGAGTATAGGATAAGAAACCTGAAGAAGTTACATCTCAAGTCCTTCTGTAATTTAAACAATAACATTGTTTGTGTTAAGCAATTGGAAATAACATAACTACATGAACATCAAATATTTTCATAGAAAGCTGTCACTGGTCATTTCTCCTCCCTTCCTGAAATGTGGCTCCTAATCATTTGCAATCTCTGTTTCTGTGAAGTTCTGCTCCAAGTATTTCTGAGCCATTGCTTCACCCAACTCCATGGTTCAAATACATCACATTCTGTGTATTGAAGTAGAAGATACGAGCAACTTTGTGATATATAATTGTTCATGTAAAGAAAGAAAAATTGGTTTGAGACAATTTTATTTATTTGTGTCCAAAAATTCTTAAAATCAAACTACTGCTTCTTCCAAATCTATTCAATAGTCCTTAATTTCCTCCTCAGTTTTTGTGCCAGTATTTCCTCCCTCCATCCCTTTGGTGGGTAATTGTAGAAAAAGTTCATTTTTGCAGGTCAACTCCAAGATGGCTCTCAATAGTCATTGCTAGGTCTCTGTGTTGTTTCTGGGGTGTCAAAACAAGGGAAAACTACCCCTTCTTGCTACTCAATCAATTTCTTAGCTTTGAAGAAATGCCGCAGATAAAAGACTTGCCAAGTTGCCAGTCCAATGAGGCAGAACATTGAGAAAATGCTGAAGTACAGTACTCGAATGTTGGTAGATTCTGAAACAAAAAAGTCCATTGTTAGAAAAAAAAATGCCAAGAAAATCTGAATCTCACAAACCGTCTACTATGTCTTCACTTGAAGTGCTGATATAAAAATTATCAGTAAAAATCTATTATAGCTGTTTGGGCTCAGTGGATAAGATATAATTAAAAGATGTTCTGTTTTCATTCAACAAATACAATTCAAATTATAAAAAACAAATGCACAGGTATAGAATAGGTGGCATTTGATGCAACAGCAGTAACTGAGAGGGATTTAGGAGTCCTAGTGGTCAGTTACTTTATGTATGCTGCAACTGCCAAAAAAGCCATAAAGTCCGAGAACTAGGCTGAATCAACAGAAGGGTAACATCAAGATCATGTGAAGTGTTAGTACCACTTTATACTGGATTGGTAAGCCTACACTTGGAATACTGCATCCAGTTTTGGTCCCCATGACACAAAAAAGATGTTGAGATTTTAAAAAAAGAGTGCAGAGAAGAGCAACAAAGATGATTAGAGGAATGAAGGCTAAATTGTACAATAACGGTTGCAAGAACTGAGAATGTCTAGTCTAATGAAGAGATGGACTAGAGATGACATATCAGTCTTCCAATATATTTGAGGGCCTGTCAGAGGAGGGCAAGACAAGCAATGGATGGAAGCTTAAGGGAGAGAGATTCAATTAAGGAGAAATTTCTTGTCAGTGAGAACAATTAATCAGTGGAAGGTGTTTAAAAAGAGATTGGAGAGTCATTTGTCCAGAATTATATAGAGTCTCCTGCTTCAGCAGGAAGTTGGACTAGAAGATCTTTCCAGCTGTTATTCTGTATTCTATATTCATATTCTTAGCTTTCATAACAACTGCATTTGAAGAGATATGCATTGTCAATAAACAGTACTCGAAATTATGTCTTGCTTATATCATTCGCTTCTACTGAATCACACCCCTCTTTAGGAAGGGAAAGTTTAAGTTTTAGAATATTGTTCTAGAATCAGTTATAAAACATCCTATAAAGCATGCACATAAGTTACTTCTGATCACATTCCAAATACAGAATTTGTTCTTAGAACTTGATGTGCATATCCCTGACAGTGAGTGACATGGAAACCTGTTTCTTTTGACACTGACATTGAAAGTGGCAAAAAGAAACATATCATATTGGCATAGCAAAATTAGAGTATATGATAACCAAACATGCAGAACAGAGTTCGAGTAATCAGTTGGAGAGGGATTGAGAAGAGAAAAATTTTAAAAGCAGGATGGCTATCATTCTCATTTATTAATCACCTGGTAATATTGTTAAAAAGCAGGTTGGTACACAAAATGTAAGTTCATTCTAAGAATGAACTTATTATCTCACACATATTATCAAGACCTATGTGGTATATTTGACTCAACTCTGCCAACTTCCTTAATAAATAACCCAAGCTAGAGAATATGAGGAATCACTAGGGTCTGTTAGAATAACTTATCAGAACATTTCTCCAAACTGGGGGATGCTACTGACAACGTTTATTTAGTTTGAAAGAAACAGACTAAAGATTTTGTTGGTGGAATTCCAGTCTGCTTTCCAACTTAGCTGGCAGAGATAGTCACAGGTATAGTGCAGGAGAATTTCAGAATATGAGCCACATGCACTTCATTTATGTGAAGACTGTCAGATTATATTTTTCTGGTCTCTGTGAATCTATGTCAAACTGTCACCGGGCTAACGCAGTAAATACAGGTAATCCTCAACTTACAACAATTTGTTTAGTGACCATTCAAACTTACCACAGCACTTTTTAAAAAAGTGACTTATCGTTTTCACACGATCATTGCAGCATCTGCATGGTCATGTGATCAAAATTCAGTCGCTTGGCAACTGGTTCATATTTATGACAGTTGCAGTATCCTGCAGTCATGTGATCGATCACCTTTTGCAACCTTCTGACAAGCAAAGTAAATGGGGAAGCCAAATTCACTAAACAACCGTGTTACTAACTTAACAGCTATGGGACAAAAGCTGCAAAATGAGGCAAAACTCACTTAACAACTGCCTCGCTTAGAAACATAAATTCGAGGCTCAATTGTGGTCATAAGTCAAGGACTACTTGTACTGCAAATTATTTCAGCCTCAAGATGTAAAAAGAGTAGCTTGGAGCTTTAGAGTGGAAGGTATAATTGGATCACATTTGGTAATTTTTTTTATTTTAGAGCATAATTTTCCTTTCTTTGATGAACTTAATGCTTTATCATGTTTGTACTAGTGACTAGTGGGTGAGCTTTCTCTATGCCGATACATATGCTGAAATTCATCAGGTACCTACTACTACAGCTTTTGGAGACATCTTTGCTTAGTTCTTCCCTAAATGACTGTCAGGTGTTTATATTTTATTTTCACTTCATATTTTTGGTATGTTTTTGATTTGATATTGATTTATTGTTTTTATCTTGTATTTCCAAACTTTTATTATAAACTTTGAAATGCAACTGTATGGGAAGTTATATTCTTATTAAATAATTAAAACAATAGAGTAGTGGAATATTTAATTATCATGTTTTATATCAGCGGTTCTCAACCTATGGGTCGCGACCCCATTTGGGGTCGAACGACCATTTTACGGGGGTCGCCAAATGCGATCCGCCATTTTCCCCCCTCAGGGGGCGCCGCTGCGCATGTGTGCCACACATGGGGCCGCCGCTGCGCATGCGCGCCGCGCATGGGGGCGGAACCGTGCATGGGGGCGCCGCCGCACATGCGCGGCGCATCCGTGTGGCGGGGGTCACCGTCACACAAAGGTTGAGAACCGCTGTTTTATATAAAAAACTTTTTATTTGTATTCTCTAGGCAGAGAGACATTATCAGTGCTACGTAGAGGCCCATAAGTACATACCATTTGTATCCCGCATCTCTTCTTCTCGCTTTTTCATGTATGCAAAGTCATTAACAACAGATTCCGAAAGATCTTCCAGTCGTCGCAGCTCCAGCTCCAATGGCTTTAGCTTTTCCACTTTAGCAATCTGATAAAAGAGGACATTATATGTCAGTGATCCAGAAGGTATCAACCCATTCCCATTTAAATGTGGACCTCTATAAAGAGGCACCAGGTCTTATTTTCTGGGGCTCTTTTCCATTCATCTTGCCGCTGTGGCACCAACAGCCCTAGCCAGCCAGCCCACTTTTTCTGTGGCCAAAGAAGCAGCTTCATTCTGCAGCTGAGAATGGAGCTCCGGCCTGCATTTCCAAGGCCTCCGATAGCGAAATGCAGGCTGGAGGACACTGCAGAAGACATGGGCTGGCGAGGAGAAGCAGATGTCAATTCATGGAAGGCCTGGCTGCAACAGTAAACGAGTACGAGGTGCGTGGGGCAGCTCCAACCCCTCCACACCCTAGCTTGATTTTTAGGCACGTGCCTTACCCCAAAACTAGGGCTTATTTTTGGGGTAGGGATTACTTTCAAGGAAAAGTATGTCTCCAACATTTCTGATCTCAAAATGCAGGGTTTTTTTTTTAAAAAAAAAACTTTAGACAAAACTGCCTTAATTGAAAACAGACAATAGATATATCTGGATTAGCACTGTCTACTCTGATCAGACATGTGTCTACACATCTCGCCACTTGAGATTCTTTTAATGTCAGGAAGCTCACAGCCAATACTCCATCTTTTGCCACAATAAACAGTCCAATTATTGCTTGGTTATGATGAGATTATAAAAAATATATCCAGAATAAAAAGGGCAGAATTTCAACATCCCTAAAATTCTATTTTCTATCCTTCATCACCAGGCACAAATGTTCATAGGCATAAAATTGGTACATGTACTAGCTCTAATATCTGGAAGTAATTATATTGCTAAGCAACCAATTTTTTCCTGAAGCCAAAACCACTTTCTTTTTCCTATATAATATAGCATACAACTCTGATCGAACACTACAGGATAACAGACAATTGGACAAGGTACAGCAAACCACCTGCCTAATGCTGAAACTACAAAACATATTTACTATCCAATGTAGCTAATTATTGTTTCCTATTTAATTAGAAATGTAATATTTCAATAGATGTAGACACTTTAATTTTAGGGGCATTCTGTGTGGCTAGCAGAACAAATTCAAGATCACTGCACCTAATAATACTTCACATATGGTGATCTGGCCATGACAACCGCAATCTGCAACATCAGGGATACTGTATTATAGATGAGGATTAAAGATGGACTCCAACCTTGAAAGGGGAATAATTTTATATTCATTTCCCTCAATGTCGTATATAAATAGCACTTAATGAGAAAGTCAAACATCTGTACTTTTCTTTTTTATCAATAGTTTTAAAAAATGATCCAGCTGCTGATTCTCATAATTTTCTTAAACAGAAGAAACAAAGTTCCTTCACTTATAAATCAAACCTTTAATTTTCTGTCTTGATGACAGTTTAGTGAATTCTAATTGATTTTACCAAACATCTAAAGAATTGTTAATAATATTAAATAATTTTAAGATACATTTGTCTCTCAAATGGAAATGAAATCTCACGTGACCAGAAATGCTACATGGAAGAAGTGGCTTTAAGAATTTTATGTTTAATTGCAAGAGGATGTTGACTGTAATCCTAAATATACCTTCTACTGAAAGTTTTCTTCGAATTACTTGGCTACCAAGTATTGTAATATAGATGAGCACGGAATACATAATAGATTTAAACTACTATCAACAGTTTATTGGAAGGCCACAAGAGGGCAATCAAACTTAGGTGTTTGCAAATATTATAGCAGCTTTTTTATAGAATTTCACCTAAAGCAAAAGGCCTGGAAGATATATTACATGATTCTAGACAAGACATGTCAAAACTCACGATGTCACATGACGTCGCGCAATGTATTGGGATAGTTTTGCCATTGCCGGCAATGGGGTGGACGCGTCTTCCGGATGACGCATCTGGCCTGGGGGCCGGCAGTTTGAAACCCCTGTTCTAGACAGTTATGACAGTTGCAAAACAACCCCTAGGTGTGATGGTAGCCTTCATCTACTTTAAAATGAAGAAAAAAGTAAGATGTTTTGTTTTATAGACTATGATCAAGAAAATGTGTAATTACTAAATAAACCTAGGAATCTCCATTCATAACATTCATAGGAACCACACTTTATCAAGCCAGCTGAAGGTATGCTTTATGGTTTATCAAAATTTTCCTCTTTCTAAAAGCCTTGTGGAGAAACATTTATGATCATAAACTGCAGAATTTGAGCCTAAATTATAGAACATTGTGCACATTTACTTCAAAGTAAATCCATGTTTCCCCAAAAATAAGACCGGGTCTTATTTTGTATTTTATTTTTTTGCCTCCAAAAGAGGCACCAGGTCTTATTTTTGGGGTAGGCCTTACCGCACCTCCGGCACCAACAGCCCCACCCAGCCGATCTACTACTTCGGGGGCTGAAGTTCTTCAGCTGCATTCGGACCTGCATTTTGCAGTCAGGCCTTTCCAGAAGGCCTAAGCAGCAGAGTACCGAGATCTTGTAGACTGAATCCATAGCTCAGTTCTTGGCTGCACAGGCCTTTTGGAAAGCCCTGTGACTGAGAAATGCAGGCCTGGCTGCAGAAGAGGCCTCAGAAGAAGAAGTGGGCCTGCAAGGAGAGGCCTGGCTGCAAGATAAGTGGGTGCGGGGCAGGTGGGGCAGCTCCACATCCCCACCCCAGCTTGATTTTTACGTGCGTGCCTTGCCCCAAAACTAGGGCTTATTTTGGGGATATGGCTTATATTAGGCCCACCACCAAAAATCAAGCAAGGGCTTATTGTTAGTGTAGGGCTTACTTTTGGAGAAACAAGGTACTGAATTCAATAGGGTAGTTCCTCTTAAATGTCTTTGGAATAATAGTCTTAAATGAAATCTGTTGTGAAATAATTCAGGAACTTATTTTAAAGTAAGATTGATGTAGTTTACATTAATAATGTATTATTATAAAACTTTTTAAAGAAATGAACAAATGATCTCTAATCAAGTACAGTTTGATCCAACTTCACCAATTTCGATGACCTCAGCAAATTTTAAAAACTTCGCTAGGTACAAGCAATAGCCAGTGAAGTTAGATAGTGAGCACAACATCAAAATACAAAAATATCATCACATTTTGAGTCCAAGGTCATCAACAGCATCACATGAATACTAGCAAGAAAGCAGAGACAAAGGCAGAAAAAGCAGAGATATACCTCTTCATAGTTTTTTGCTTCCACTCCGTGCTTCATATTCAAGGTCACAAGCTGGTCTGGCATCCGCCCTGTTCCTGGAAATGCAATGAAAGGATTCATTGTATGCAGTATTTTAACTGCCAGGAAATTCCCAGCTCTGCTCCCTTTCCTATTATAGAAGGATTTATACTCACTCTTTATAAGCCTCTACAGAGTTAAAGATGCAGCCAAATTATTATTATAACCATAGAAAAGTCTACAGGGTTCTCCTAAACAAAGAACTCCCTAAAGTAATAAGCTGTTGCAACTATGCATGTGGAGAATGCAGAATGCAGACACTCCAATTTCCTGGCCTTCAGTCCACCCACAAACAGTAAGAAAATATATAAGTACCATTTAATAACGCCAGATTAGCTAGCTGGAACTAACAGGCCAATTCTATCCAAATGGAAACAGTAGAAAGCCAAATGATATATTAAATGGAACAGATGAAATTACTTTGAAAAGCAGACCACCTAGCCAACTTCTCAACCATCTGGGAAATTGCTAAAAACACTAGCTTGCTCTGTCTTCTTTTTTCCAATTCACATTTTACCATTACCATCATAAATAAACCTTAAGTAAGTGGGCTGGCAAAGAGCTTTGTCATTAATCCTCAGTGAATGCTGCTAATAAATTACATGCAAGTATACACTCATAGGCATTAAAAAAAAGTATGTATCTTCATCTCAACTCCAACCAATAAAAATCATACCCTAAGACTTTAACCTTTTATAGACAAAGCTTTCTGCTTTGTTGTACACAGTGCAGGAAACTGTTCAATCTCTAAAAGACTCCGAGTGCAGGTAGTCCTCAACTTACAACCGGTCGCTTAGTGACTCTTCGAAGTTCCGACAGATCTACTTGAGGTAAATCTATGACCCCAAATTTGAGGTTCCAACAGTTAGGTGTACCTGCAGTCACATAACAATATTTGGGTGCTTGGCAACTAGGCCTATTTAAAGCTGCTTGCAAGTATTCCACAGTCATGTGACTGCATTTTATGACAATTTTGCTGAAAACTATAATTTACTTCTAGCTTTCAGCAAAACAATATCCATAGTAAACCACTGGTTTGCAGATTTTACGACCACAGATTGCCTTAACAGAAAAGTCAAAAGGATGATTTTATGACTGTCATGAGTTAAAGCATGATGGGCGGGGTCCATTATGATTCTAATTTGATGACTATATTACTGATTTATCTGCAAAAATGATGCCTTATATTCTATTCATCATTTCCCTATCTTAAAGTGATGCTATGATTACCTTTCTGATACTGCAAAGAACGGACATCTCTCTTAAGAAAAACGGGGGGGGGGGTTGTACACAAAAACATTTAATTCCATATACAAATGTTCAATTGGTTATGATAATTCATGTACTGATTTCTGGAAAAAGGAAGGTAGATCAGGAAAGGGGAAAAATGGAAAATCTACCTTCAGTTGAAATCTGACAATACCTTGAATGTAAATTATGACATGTTTACTTAAATCTTATAATTTAAATCGGCTCACTTTCATTCATGTACATGTGTATCTAAAGGAAAGACCTTCTGAAAAAAAAAAAAAGAAATGTTCTATTTCCAGAAAATCATGAAAAGGATAAAGCTGTATACATCAGGTTAAATAACATCAGTTACTTTGAAGAGGATTTTTTTTTTTGCTTTTGCTTATTTCATTTTGGGGGAAGGAAAGATATTTCTATTTTTCCCTCTTATTCTGACCTGTTTTTAATATCCATTATTTCTAAGAACATGAGCTTAGTTTTTAAGTGGGAAATGTAAGAAATGAAGCTTGCAATGAAAGTTATATGGCAGAATAACTAAGGCTATGTTAAGTCAGACATATTACTATTGAAAATGATCTTGAAAATGGGACATAAGAAGGAACCAATCACAGGGGATCCAACCATCATAATTCAATCACCCAGCTCTTCAGTTTAGCATCTTAGGGAACAGATTTAAAACAAATTTTAAATGGAAAAACAGCATGAATATGTGGGTTTGATTGTCATGCTTACAAATAAAGGATTTTCTATTCTGAACTCTTTACCTTGCACAAAAAAATAAATTTCAAGTTTAGGGGGAAGGAGGTTAGCGTCCTGCTGTGTTTTCACTTCTCCAAATTAATCCTGGCTAACACATGCATATATGTTCTCCAAGGAGAAGGCACCAGCACTGGCAATGTATCATAATACAACAGTAGCAATTTCTGGAACATCTGGAAGCTGGTGGTAGCTTAAGGCTCTCTTGCCATGAAACCTGATGTATTATATAGTGAGAAGCAAACAAGCAGAGCTATAAGCAGAAGCAGCTGCATATATATCTGGGGAGCCACAAAATTAGCTGCTATGGATTTAGTGAAGGAAACAAGGAAATTTTACCTCTCTGTCCTGCCTCTTTTGCTTATAATAAATTCTTAAGAGTTTCATATGATGTAGCTGTTTCACAGACTGTATGCCAAAATATTGGTATGTTTTTACTCTGTTTCACAAATAGATGGCAGCACAATACAGTAAGAAATATTTTGTGTGGATAAGAGAAGGAAATGAGCTTCAGTTGATGGAAATGATGCTGCTACCAATAATAATTTCTAATATACTGAAATGTATCTTTCAGATAGCTGAGGATAAAAAAGCAGTCCCCAATTTTTATCTCACAATTGTTACCTGTTTCTATGAAAATGATTTCTGATTACAACCACATAATCAATATGGAGCAATTTAAGAAATAATTCTTAAAATTTCATTCAAATATGTAGCGAATAAACATGACTGAAATCAGCAAGGTTTCATTTTGAACTTATATACAAAGAATTGCATTACATAAACTACAAAAAGTTTAGCAACATTTTGGTTCTTAGATTACAACAGTAGAAATGCCCAAGAGCAGAATCTGGAAGCTGTTAGGACAAATAATTAAAGTGGTAGGAACTGTCAGGATAATGAATACATATAGTACTTTCAACAAGTTATGGATAAATCTAAAAATACTTAAAATAGAATAAAAATATATTCTGTTGGACTTCCAAAAACAGAAATTCACATAGTTGATGAGAAACTTTTCTCATAGTTGAGAAAAGTTGGTGAGAAAATATCCTTTCCAAATCATTTTATGGTTCTGTTACTTTGTTTATTTAGCATAAAAAATAGCATTCAAAATAAAAGTACAAATAACAAAGCACAGTATGTTTGATAGATAAAATTACAAAATAAACAAATGATTCTTTCCAGAATATCCAGTAAGTTGTTTTGACAAGTTTTTTTGTCATTACAAAAAAAAAAAAAAAAACCACCAGGAGGCAGGATCCATGTGAAAAATTGTTTGCAAAATATTTTTGCCACAAATCTTTTCTTAATCCATATGGAATTGATGAGTCCTATAAAAATCAAAATGGGATCAGTGCATCATTTACTGGTAGACCATGGGTAGAATTAATTGCCACTTATTCCCCTGTAAATCACAGAAGGATTAAGAGCATTTTCAAGTCTCAGCAAATACATTTAACCAAAGTATAGATGTTGCTTTCAAAAAGCACATATAACACTTCCAGATACAGTATACAACTGAATTACATTCAGTGCCACTCTTATCCACTTTCTTTTCAATTGGTACTAGATGTACAAGAACCCTAACTGCCATTGGAATGCCTTGCTTTTCTCCACATGGCTTTTCTATAGAGAAAGATTGGATGGAGGTGAATGTTGGGTGCCCCTTCCTAAAGCATACTGAATACCACAATCCTAGAGTGTGCAATTTCCTTTCCCCTGCCATCTTTTTATCAGTGGCTTTCTCTTCACCTATCAGGAGCTGCAACTCCAATACCCTGGAAGCCAGAGAAAGACAGTATGCCTTCAAACTGTTCACCAGCTCTAGATCCAGAGGAAAATATCTCTCTGAAATCCTTCAGAAAATTTGAAAGGGAAAAACAAGATTAAAGAGTGAAGAACAACAACAAGCTCAGATCTGACCAAATAATGACTGAATGTCCATGTAAGGGTTATTTTTAAAGGCATCCTTGTGTGAAGGACACAGAAATGCAAATAATATTAATTACTCAAAATTGATCTGATAGATATAACTAGTACATCATTACTCTCAAACTTCACCATATAGTAGAAATATGAGGAAAATCTGCAAAAATAGGAGCAACTTTGCAGCCTGAACAGCACAGTAAATGACGCAAGAAAAAAATATTGTGTTAGCAATTCAGCACATGCTGTGGGATCCTTATACGCCTTGCGGGCCACCTCTTCCCTCTATGGGATGTTTGTACAAAAAAAAGTGTCTTTCACTTCCTCTTCCCCATTTTTGTGGCTACAGGCTTGAGAAATCCCAATTGCTCAAACTCCACCTGGCTCAACAGCTCAAATAACTGTTATCTTAAGTTTTGGTTTCCCCAGGCAGAGATAAATATACTGCTGCCTAAACTGCTAAAGAATATCCATCTATTTTATGAGCAACATGTAAAAAAACTATTGACAGTCATAATAACCTATAATACCCAAATAGTATCAAGTAAGAAGCTCTAAATATTTTTTTGTAAAGTGCAAGCAATTCAGCAACTTCCTTCAAAAGGTAGAAATAGGCTGGCAAAAATTCTGATAAAATCTGTTTCCCTCAGGACTGAGTACATAACATTTATGAGTTCAGAATGCAGTATAGGAAACACAATACTTAGAAAATTCATCTATAGCAGTGAGTACAAAAGCTTCCTCAAGCCTCAAGGGCTATTTATCCCTGATCAGAAGCAGTATGAAAATGACAATGCAATACTTCTGCTGAACTCTGATCCTGTAATTTGACAGAAAGATGGATAAATGCATCGCTTCTCAAGATATCTTTAGCTCTAAGGCTTGTTGGGCAATTGTCCACCAGATCTGGGTATACAACCAGTGCCTTTTACACTTCCTTTTTCCTCATATGAGACAAAACACTAATGCAAGAGATCCTCAACCTTTGCCACTATGTATCATGTTCATATCAGAAACAAGTCTACCTGCCTAATCCAAGGATATTAGCAGATATCTAATAAGCAGATCAAATTCCATCACCAAGGATTATAAAGTGCTCTAGTATCACCAAATCTAATCTATCATCCATATAAAGCAAGAACAGAAAAAATAAAGAGCAGGCAGAACACCTCTTATGTGAAAAAAAAAAAACATGTGAAGCAAGTCTAGAGAACAAAAAAAAATTCAGGAAGAAGTTAGAAAATATGGCAAATATTTCATTGAATTTATGTAGCTACCCCATTTCACATTTATGTGGGCAGTATACAAAATTAAAGCTAAATATTCAATATACTGTAATTTATCAAATAAAACAATAAAAGCAATTAAAATCAATACCCTCTCCTTGTTCTCCTACATTTTCTGGCTGGAAATATTAAAAAATATTGCTTGTGCCCATATTTTGTGAATTTTGAATGGGCATTAAGCTATTTTTTTTATTGAAGTTAATTACTTGGTTCACATAAAACACCAACATAAACTATGGGTTGCAAACAGTAAAGGCATTTCACAATATAGTAAGTGAAAAACTATTATAGTTAAGCACAATCTACAAACTAGTCCTAGCAGCTGAGTGAGATTTTATCTGTCACATACTTCTTTGATAACAGTGTTCTTGTATTTCACATGTTAAATTGCTTTTCTATTCAGTATATTATAATTGCATTATTGGTCAATTGCAATTATTTTTAGAAAAAAAATAATTTATCTTCATCAGTAATTTTAAAAGGTTGTGGTTAAGTAATTTTATGCATTTCATTTCAAAAGATCAAAAATATTTGGCAAAGCAGATATCCCTTCTTCATACCCAAAAGTACCGGTATCTCTTTAAGTGAATTCTGCAAAGAAAGTAAAAAGGAACTTCTCAAAAGCATCTAATAGTTTTTCACACTTACCCACAGGGAGTTTGCTTTCAAAGCAAGCCTCAAACACATCATAGTCCTCGGTGGTGAAAGCAAACTTGCCCTTAGTAGCATCTTCCTTGACATAAAGGATATGTCCAGCTGTGTCAGTAATCTGTAAGAAAAAAAGTAAAGAAGCAAGCAGGAAATAGCTAAATATTGGGTGGGTTATTATTTTCCTTTTGGCCATCTACATAGCTGAAAATTTAAATTTAGTTTAATTGTGATTGTCAAAAAAACATGTTTTATTATCCTCTACTATCTTAAATAGTTTATATTAGTATAACAGTATTCACTAATCAAAAAGCAGTTGTCTGAAAAGAGGGCACAATATAATGGGAGACATCATTCATTTAATTAAAAGTAGATTAACAGCAATTTTGGTAAAGGCAAATTACAGCTACTTTTAGCTCAGTGTTTCTCAACTTTGACAATTTTAAGACATGTGGACTTCAACTCATAGAATTCCACAGCCAGCAATGCTGGCTGTGGAATTCTGGGAGTTGAAGTCCACATGCCTTAAAATTGTCAAGGTTGAGAAACACTGTTTACACAATTAACTTGAACAAACTATATAGTGCTTTTCCCCACTACCAAAACAGCAATACATCAAACATTAAATTATATTCTTAGAATATGTTAAAATATATTTAAACTCTCATTTTATGCAGTAAAAATTTATAAGAATATTCAAATATGGTTCTTTTCATACAAAATTAAATCACACATGGTGTTCTGAACTAGATCTTCCCAACGTGTGGCTGCATCTACAATTCTATTAAGCTGGCAACAGATGACAGCTACTTATGTACCATTAGGCATATTGCTTATAAAACTCCGGGCAAACTGCTTAAAAGTTAACCTCCACAACTATGGGGGTACAACAAAGAATGAAAGATGTTCCATAAATGCTTTTGCAGCGATCACACCTCTCCATACACAAACACAGTGTCAACCTGAACAATAAGTTGCTATATGCAGTTGGGACAAAGAGGCTAAAGCAGGGGTGTCAAACTGCTGACCCGCAGGCCAGATGCATCGTGTGGAAACCGCACCCACCCCATTGCCAGCAATTGAAAAAAAAGTCGCAATACGTCCCAACGCATCACGTGATGTTGCAAGTTTGACACCCTGGGCTAAAGAACCTCTCTGTTACACTCCTCCAGAATCAAAAGTATTATGTTTGTGTTGAGATGGCTTGGTAAATATGTAAACTTAACAATGAAAAGCAATCACAGTAATTAAAAAGTTTCCTGCTCTTTACCTATGTTCTTCTATATAAAACTGTTCATTGTGCAATCTGAAAATTATTATGTGATCACTAGTAAATGAAAGACAGCAATGACAAACTTTATGCAATCAGCTGTGCTAAAGCTTTAAAAAAACTATTCTGGATGAATAAACACCTTATATGCTCTGAAACTATCTGGTGAACCACCAAAATTGGGATAGTAAAAACAAATTGCTGATGCACAGAATCTCAATGGTCTATTACACTTTTCTGGAAAAAAGCAAATCGCTAAAGCAGGACTTTGACTTCAAACCAAGGTAAAAAAAATTGGATAAATATATTAGAAAGTTACACTTTCTGAGAATTTATAACCATAGGATCTCTAATATTAGACAAAAGAAAGGTGCTACACATAGATCTTTTAGAACTACCAAAAATGTTCATTGCCTTATTTTTCTTAAATATATGTAGTTAAAATGTTTTAATATATTTTATTTTTAAGACTCTTTATACTTTGTACATCATCAAAAATTAAATAGTGCCAATACTTGTCAAAACTGAATCAATAAACTATGTAAAAAGAAAATATATGCTTCTGAAAATTAAATATAATGTATCTTCTTTATGAGACACAAAACTACCTCAGATTAGTACAGTAAATACTAAATTATAAAAACAGCTGGCTGTCTGAACTGCAAAAAAATCTGACAGAATTAACTTTATTTTGTATAGGGAAGAAAAATAGGGAAGATTCCTTAAAGTCAAACTTGACTCTTAGTGGTTACCTAGCGATAAGTCTATTCAATTTTCTTGGCAACAATATATAAATCATTTGCAACTGTCTTTTCTAATGTTTTTTTTAAACTTCCAAGCCCTCAAATTCCAGTCTTGTTCAAAATTAACCAAGATTACCAGCCTGAATAAGGGATAGAACAGAACAGAGCTGGAAGGGACCTTGGAGGTCTTCTAGTCCAACCTCGTGCTCAAGCAGGAGGACCTATAACCATCTCAGAAAAGTGACTGCCCAGCTTCTCCTTAAAAATCACCAGTGATGGAGCACCCACGATTTCTGGAGGCAAGCTGTTCCATTGGTTAATTGTCCTCACTGTCAGGAAGTTTCTCCTTAATTCCAGGTTGCTTCTCTCTTTGATCAGTCTCCAACCATTGTTCCTTGTCCTGCCCACTGGTGTTTTGGTGAATAACGTGATCCCTTATTCTTTATGGCAGCCCCTCAAATACTGGAATACTACTATCATGTCTCCCCTATTTATTTCCTTTAGACTAACCAAACCAAATCCTGCAGCCATTCTTCATAGGTTTTAGTCTTCAGGCCTTTAATCATCTTAGTTGCTCTTCTCTGAATTTTCTCCAAACTCTCAACATCTTTTTTGTGATATGGTGACCAGAATTGGCTGCACTATTTCAGATGTGGTCTTATTAGGGTTTCATAAAGCGGTACTAATACTTCACGTGATCTTGATTCTATGCCTCTGTTTATACAACCCAGGATTGTATTAGCTTTTTTGTCTGCTGCTGCACACTGCTGACTCATAGTCAAGTGATCATCCACTAGGACTCCAAGGTCCCTCTCACAGTTACTGTTTTTAAGCCAGGTCTGTACTTGTACCTTTGATTTTTCCTGCCTAAATGTAAAACTTTGCTTTTCTGCACATTGAAACTCATTTTGTTCAAATTTGTCAAGATCTTTTTGGATCTTGATTTGTCTTCTGGGGTGTTGGCTACTCCTGCCAGTTTGGTGTCATCTGCAAATTTGACGATCCCCCTTCAATTCCCTCATCTAAGTCATTGATGAAAATATTGCAGAGTACTGGGCCTAAGATGGAACCTTGTAGTACCCCATTGCTTACTTCTCTCCATGTGGATGTGGTGCCATTGAGGACTACTTGTTGTGTATGGTTTATCAGCCAGCTACAGATCTATCTGGTGGTGATGCTGTCTAACCCACATTTTTCTATCTTATCAAGTAATAGGTTGTGGTCTACTTTCTCAGATGCCTTACTGAAGTCTAAGTATACTACGTCCACAGCATTTCGCTGGTCTACTAGTTTAGTCACTTTATCAAAGAATGAAATAAGATTGATTTGGCATGATCTGTTTTTAACAAACCCATGCTGGCTACTAGTAATAACTTTATTTGCTTCTAGTTGTTTGCAGATCTGTTTTTTGATTATCTTTTCTAGGATCTTCCCAGGTATTGATGTTAAACTGATTAGTCTGTAGTTTCCTGGGTCCGTTTTTTTTTTTTCCACCTTTCTTGAAGATGGGAACCACATCAGCTAGCTTAGTTCTCTTTTATTCAAAAACAGCATTTTCACCTTGACTCTTACTCAATTATTATGAGAAAAAGTATAAGAACAGGTAATCCTTTATTTACAACCATTCATTTAGTGACCATTCAAAGTTACAACACTGAAAAAAGTGACTTTTGAGCATTTTTCACTCTTACAACCATTGTAACATCCTTCTAATCATGTGATCAAAATTCAGCCACTTGGCAACTGGTTCATATTTATGACGGTTGCAGTGTCCTGGGGTCATGTGATTATCTTTTGCGAACTTCTGACAAGCAAAGTCAATGGGGAAGCCAGATTCAACAATTGAACCCAGAGTTTCCATTGCTAAGCAAGATAGTTAAGTGAGTTTTGCCTGATTTTATGACCTTTCTTGCCATAGTTGTTAAGTGAATCACCACAGTTGTTAAATTAGTAACACAGTTGTTGAGTGAATCTGTCTTCCCTAATAACCTGGCTTGTCAGATAGTCACAAAAGGTGATCATATGACTCTGGGACATTGCAACTGTCATAAATACAAGTCAGTTGCCAAGCATCCAAAATCTGTTTATGTGATTATGGTCATAAGTTTGAAAAATGGTCATAAATCACTTTTTCCACTGCCATTTTAACTTTGTACAGAGATTAAATGCATGATTATAAGTCAAGGACTACATGTACAAGCTTCCAAGCCATAAACAATTTTGGCTTCATTTATACATTTCCACTTAGTTCAGCAGAATTTATAAGGATGGTTCAAAATATAACAGTGTACATATTTCCCTTCACATTTAGTAGTCATATTATTAAAGATCCCAGAAAGTCTCCATGAGGGAAGAATTTTGCTTGGAGAAAGAATAATGTATTCATAATAAAAATAACAGATTCAACTGAATTTGTTCCAATTTACATAGTACTACATATTTTTTTTCCTGCAATGTGGGATAATGTAGGGATTACTCCAAACAATCCTACCACATTTGGTAAGAATACCACATTCTATGAAACAAGCCTTAATATACAATATTGGAATTTCATAATGCTTTTGTATTTTCAGGGCATGGGTTTAGTTTTCGCTTCCTAGCATCATCACTGCAGTTAATTTAAGACTACAAAACTTCTGCACCTAATAGCCTCTCCTCTTTCTCTGTGAAGCAGAAAAAAACCCCACCCTCAGTCTTTTGCTATTTGGGTCACACTTCCTACTGTCATATTATTCTGAAAACCCAGGGAATAAATCCTTACAGTACTATGTTTTGGACAATTACAGCATGGTTAGAACTCCAAAGCAATGGGACGGTGGACACACAGAGAAAAGCTCAGCTATAAAGTCAGGAATGAATAAGTTCTAAGTATGTGAAAATAAGAGACAAGGAGGGAACTAAAACAAATAAACAGCCTTTACATCCCGGACTAGTGAGAGGCGAAGGCATTGTTGCGAGGGCCTATGCAGTTCCAGTCTCACCGACTCAGTCTTCCATCTTTCCGAGGTAGGTAAAATGAGGACTCAGATTGTTGGGGGCAATAGGCTGACTCTGCAAACCGCTTAGAGAGGGCTGTAAAGCATTGTGAAGCGGTATATAAGTCTAAGTGCAATTGCTATTGACAGTATTCCTCCCAGCGAGTACACAAAACTGGACTTTTTCCTCCTTCCGTATTCAGCCTTCTGAGGAGACGCAGAGAACGCTGACGTGTCCCCAGATGCGGAAGGAAACGGGAATACAAGCGTGTGGTCGGTAACAGGCTGGCCCTAGGAATCCCACAGCCTGTCCGGGAGGAGGTACCAGGTAGCGCGCGGGGAAGGGAACTATCACTTGAGGGACACTGTTTCTGACAGAGGACTACCTGCCCCATCAGCCCCCACTTGCTCCCGCCCAACTGCCCCGCTTGCGCTCTCGCCGGCCCTGCACCTTGAGGTTTGCGGACGGGCCGCTAGACGAGCCCAGCGGGGGGGCCACCTCGTACTCGCCGGTGACCAGCTTGTCGCGGTGAATCTCCTCCCGAAGGCATTTGCGGGCTTTGCCCGGCAATTGGAAGGAGATGGGCTGAGCGGGGCCTGGCAGCAGGACGAGCAAAAGGAGCGCAAGCAGAGACGTCAGGAAAGCCGGCTTGTGCTGAAGGCGGCCAGGGAGCAGCGAAAGCAACAGCATGGCGGTAGATCCAAGTGACACCAGGCCGGACTTTCTGCCTCCACCTCCAGCACGTGACCGCGTCGCTCGTTGCATGATGGGAAGTGAGGAGCCTCGGGGGCAGCCACCGAGATCAATTGTGCTAGAAGGGCCAGAAAGTTCAGCGGATTGGTGGGAATAGAAGTAGAGAGCGTAATTCAATGCCGGGTTGTCCGCGGAGTATCCAAGTCTTGTCGGAGCTTAGTGTCAATGGGGGTTCTCAGTTATGGTTGTCCCAAAAGTACTTTTTCAAAAGGCAACTGGACTTTTTGTTTTCGCTTCTCATTCAAGAAGCTTTTTCAATTCTGATTGAATGGTAGAGGATGGAAGGATTTATATTCCTTGCAGTAATCTTATATGGTCGTTAGCATTCTTTTCTCGTTGAAGCTACTTGGGGGTTTATCTGTGCCCTCAGGGTCATCTGAATAGTGTAAAGGTGCTATTTCAAAAGATAAACAGGACTTTGTTTCTCCTTGAAGACGTTTCGCTTCTTGTCCAAGAAGCTTCTTCAGTTCTGACTCAGTGGTGGAGAAGTTTTAATGACCAGATGACTGCAAGGAATATAAATCCTGCCATCCTCCATTATTCAGTCAGACCTGAAGAAGTTTCTTGGCTAAGAAGCGAAACGTCAATTGCTTTTTTAAAAAGCACTTTAGGGACAGTCAGAGCTTAGCTAGAATGGATGGAATTGTCAGCTTTTTATTAGCATTTAAATAAAACCCAATTCATGATCTAAATGCTCTATGTTGTCTTAGCAGTAGCTGCCTACTGCCACAGTAGTCAAGTTTCTACTACTTTGAAAAAAATAACCGAATTTTAAAAAACATCAGAGCACGATGGCAAAAGACAGTGCTCTTGATTAATATCGTTTTGGTGAACTGTAAGGAATGCTCCTGATTTCTGAGTTTACCCTTGTAATGTCCATATTGTATCATTTTGTCTGAAGGAAAAAAATAGAAATTCACAAGCATTATAAGTAAAAAATGTACTGATCCTTTTGGACTAACATTTTCAAAATATAAATTGATCATGGTATATTTAAGAAGAATAGAATAGAACTGGAAGGGACCTTGGAGGTGTTCTAGTCCAACCCCCTGCTCAAGCAGGAGATCCTATACGAGACAAATGACTGTCTAGTCCACGGGTGTCAAGACTCTACAGGCCTTGCCCAATCTGTGATTTATTATGTTTTGTTTCTAATTTGTGTTAACTGCTTTGCCTTTTAGGGGAGGAAATTAAAATATTTCATATAAAAAGACATTGAAATATAAATAATTCAAAGTAAAATTTGAATGTATGTGTATGTAACAACTGAATTCTCATACTACACTAAATATAAAGACTAATATAAAGACTGCGTCTCGGAGAATGTATGTATGTGGCATATGTTTATGTACAACTTCTTGTTACATTCAGAATATTTATCAGAAACTGGGAACTGATTCAAAATACAAGACTATTAAAGTGGGAGATTTATTTTTGGTGCTAAGTGCTACTTAGCTAATCAGCACTTACAGCCAACTGTAGTTAAGCAAACTACAGTTGGCTGGGTCCACCAAATTTGATAACTCAATCTAAACTACAGAAGCTTATCTAAACCAAGCTGTATGACAGCATTGCCTATAACTTGGCTTGCACAATATGCAAAAGCATATAGTAATTTTGTTAGGCTCAATATGTTATGCAAGCTTAAACCTCATCTTAATTGTGGCTATAGTCAAAATTTGAGTCACAGTTTGTCCTCTCACTTCTAAACCATCTTGCCATCTTGGGTGGGTTGACCTATGACTACATCTTTATTATTTAACAGCCTCCCCCAAAGTGCAGGAGGACTAAGAGAAATACCATAGAAGCAGGTGGTACCTCCATATTTCCACATTTCATGGGCAATGGCTGCATTGATCTGATCAGTATACTAGACATTTATGCCAAATCATATAAATTTAAAAATGAAATGTCACCAGGCCAGTCATCTTAATGGTGGCTGGAATACCAAGCAACATAAAGTATTACCATGAAACCATATGTTACTTTTAACAAAATGAAGCATATTGTGCAACTATACCCTATGTATATACGTGTAGTTTTTTTGTACAGCACAGTATATCTCATCCTAGTGATAGGGTGGGCTTATATTTCTCAGAAATCCTCTTAAGTTTTATACCAGCTTTCTAATTTTGGTAATGCAGCTTGTTAGTTATTACTGTTATTACCTTTTTTTTTGGAGGATGCCTTTGTTGCTGCCCTCCCTACACCCACTGAACTCTAGCATATGAGACAAGCATAGCCCTCACAGACAGTGGTTTTTCTGGCAACTAGAGGAAATAATATAAATCAATTCTACAGCACCATTTCCTAGGTCTGTAAAGTGAAGCATGTGCCTAAGGAAATCACTCCCCTTCCCCCAAAGATAGATCAATCTCACAAATCATAAAAATGTCTTTATTTAAAACAAATACAATACAATGTAAAAATTCACATGCAATATATTGAGCAGCAAAAAAGATAAAAATAATGTGCTGCTAAAATAACACAGCAATTTGAAAAGGATTTCCTAAAAGAAAAAGAAAGATGACTCTTTAAGCTTGAGACAAATTCAAATGCTGTTAATATATCTAAAATATCCCAAAAGGCATCAAATATATATCCAGGCTTACAGAGATACAATACTGTATACATCTGAGATATTAAATAGCACCACACAGAAAAGAGATGAAAATTAATGTTATGCAGTATAAATGTGTTGGATGCTTTTTCTTATCCTTATTGAGGTAATTGCTGCTTGAAACAGTTTTGTTCTACCTCAGTTTTTACCTCACATATAGTTTGATTATTTTTAGAATTACCACTTTTCTACTATATGTTAATGGTCACAATTGATATCTTTGAGAGCAGCTCTCTTCTATATTACTTTATTATCAAAAGAGTTGATCTTCCATGATAAATACTTTTGGCCCTTTATTTGTCTTTTCTCAACAAATGATGGTTTGGTTCATACCTTTTCCTGCTATATGAGTCAAGTAAAGATGTAGGACAAATAGTCCCTGTTTGCAGTAGTTCAAATTAAGGCATTTTGTCTGGAAGATCCCTTTTATCTGGAAGATTTTCTAAGGCAACACGAGACAAGAATGAGAGGCAGTGCTTCTAGGGAAGGGGGAAGTTGGCTTGATAATAGCTGACTCAACAGGGTATATTCATATTTTGTGGAGACCAGTGTGCAAAAAGGTAAGAATGGGAAGCAATGAATGAACCCAGGAAGTCCCCTTTCCTCCTGGCACAAGAGGAAGACACACTGACCAACAAAAAGAATGGCACATGGGATGGAACAGTATTAATATCTTTTCTAAAAGAAGACTTCTCTAGGCACAGTGCCTCATCCAGACCACAATACGGGTGACTTAGACCAGATGGAGTACTTCTGCATTCTCAAGTTCCGTAAGGATGATCCGATTCACCAGCTAGGCTGGGCTGACTAAAATGCCCTTGAGGACATAAGAGTACAAATAAGGACGAATAAAATTGCAAAATTAACTTGTGCTGCATACTGTTAGAATAACATGTGCTACAGCATCACTTGTAATGATGCCCTATGATCAATTAGCTTTTTTTGTAAAATATTTTTCTTCAATAATTTTGTGGATTTGTTGATCAGATCACACATCACTACATTAACTCAAGGTCTATTTAAATGATGGCTTCTCAACTAAGACTGGGTTCATACATTACAAAAACACAGTTGGAACTTACAGGTTACATGGCTAAAGTGCAAAAAAATCAAACTAGCCATATTATGGCTTAGCACAATATTGTGTCTCAAATCTTTGAGTGGTAGCCCTGTGTTACAATCAAGAAGACGTGTGGAAGTCAAGATGAATTGCCAGTTTAAAGAGTCTCTGTGGTCTTTTTATTTATTTTATTATTTATTATTATTTATTATTAAATATTTATGGTGTTCATCTTACTAATAAGAAATTATGGGTGATTTACAATACAAAAAAGTAACAATTAACATTACAAAATTTGAATAAAAAAGCTAAAAGCTAAAAACCAAGACTGTGAGTGGTCTGAGGATGAGGATCTTCTCTGCTTGGTCAGCCACTCCTGATATAGTACGCCCAGTGGTGGGATTCAAATATGTGAACAACCGGTTTTCTGTATGGATGCTGCTTCCGAAGTCCATTCTGGGCCTGGACAATAAAAAATTAGCTACTGGTTCTATTGAACTGGTGCGAACTGGCTGAATCCTACCACTGTGTAGGCCCCTCTTGGGGCCCCAGACCAAGCAGCAGAGCCTAATTTTTAGGCTCTTCCAGAAGGTCAAGAGTGTGGGGGTAGATTTCATCTCAGACAGAGGAATATGGTGGAGGGAAAACCTCTTCTCCTAGATCAGTAATGACGAACCTTTTAAAGATTGAGTGCCCAAACTGCAATCCAAAACCCACTTATGCATTATCGAGTGCTGGGTGGGTGTGGCCCATTGACTGGGTGTGACCAATTGGGTAGGCGTGGCCAATTGGGTGGGCTTGGCTGCAGTGGTAACGACAGACTGGGTGGGACTAAAAAGTTCAATCAATCAATTCCAACTTTGCAAGAACTTTTTTCCCCCCGCGAGAAGTTGAAATTGACTGATTGAACCTTCTTTTTTTTTTTTTGCACATGGTGGCGGAGGCCTAAAGCAAAAGGTTTTATAAAACCCAGCTGAAAGCCTAGCACTGGGCAACAATGTGTATGCCCAGAGAGAGGGCTCTGAGTGCCGCCTCTGGCACCTATGCCATAGGTTCGCCACCACTGTCCTAGATCCTGCCAGAAGAAATTCTTTGGCCAACAGGATCTGAAGCAGGTCCTTTCCACTGGAATGAGTGGGGCAGGCTAGTCCCATCAGAGTGAGACGGTTCCTCAGATACCCTGGACCTATGCCATAAAGGTCTTTAAACATAGTAACCAATACCTTGAATTGGACTAGGAAGCAAACTGGAAGTCAGTGCATCTCACATAACAGTGCCACCCAAGGGGCCTCCAGATCTGTCTGCGACACTGCATTGTGTACAGTTGTAATTTAAATTCCAAATTTATTAAATCTAGAAACTGCCCATTTCCCTTGCGGAAGATCTTTGGACAGTGTATAAGTAAAATATTAAAACATCAAAACTGTATATAAAAGTTAATAAAAGGCAAAGATAATCAAAATCCAACATTAAAAGTTAATGAAAAGGCAGGAGGAAGGTCTTCAGGCTGCTATGTAGCCCCACGACGCTGCTCCTTTGTGACCTCCTTTAGCAAGATGGCAGAGCCAGATCTAGACATTTCTGAAAAGGCAGGAAAGGCCTTGCTCAGGTTCTTACTGACCAGTTTCCTTCTAGCTCTGGGACCAAAACTGAAGAGTGGAAAGCTGACCTTGACTGAGCATGTGTGCCCTACTTAGGGATTCACACAATTTCAGACATGTGCAAAAGCAGCTGTCAGTGTATTTTTAGAGGAGCTGATTATCCCTGCTGAAACAAGGCTGTAATGTTTGTGAAGCTGAAAAAACACTATCTCTGCTGATACAGAACTTGTTTGCTTCAATAGTTATTAATTTTGTAACTTCACATGTTGTTTGAATCCAGCTCCTATTATTATGTTTCAGTGTGTCATGACACCCTCCCCCAAACTGGTTAAGAAAACCACAGGTAACGAGAACATTGTTAAAAGAATCCAGATCTACAGACGTGGTGCTAAAATGGTCTAAGTCAAAGTGTGTGACGGGGGACGTCTATATCAGTCCGGAATAGTATGTTTTGAAAATGATTGTCTACATTTAAGAATTTAATGGAAAACAAAATTAATATTGTAGGTGCATCCATTGCACTGTAGTTTTGCAACATGAAAAGTAAACTTCTGAATGCAAGTTTGACTTAAAAGATATAGTCATCCTCTCAAGGTCAGAATACAATAGCCATAATTCACTTGCCTTAAGTCCTCACTCATTCCTCCCGAGTCCTGAGTCATTCCTTAAAGGGTAGGGTGACAAATATTCCACTGACTGAGACAGAGCAGGACAACATAATTTACTTAATATCATGTTTCCCCCAAAATAAAACCTGGTCTTATATTTTTTTTTTTGCCTCAAAAAGAGGCACTAGGTCTAATTTTCGGGTGATATCTTACCTTAGGACTGCCGCAGCCAGGCTTCCCACACTCCAACACCTGTCGTGCTGCTGCTTGACTTCTTCAGCAGCCGCTTGCTACCTC